TTTTTAAAAAGAGAACACATTGTTACATTTCATATCCTCATCTGTCAATTTTGCACCTGCAGCTTATAAAGAGAGAGCTTAGTTAGGCCATTCAAGAGGCACAAGTTCACCTTACTTGTGTAAGCTTTTCTTTCCCTGAATATAGCTGAAGTTCTTATGATGTGACTTTTGCATACTTCTAAAATGATATGCCACTTTTACCGCATGATAATTAGTAGGAAGAAAAAATAAGGCAAATACCGACAAATAAAGATTTTTAGTCCTAGGAGAACATGCCTTTTCCTTTGCTTGTACACTTAACACCATGTCTTAGTTACTAGGCTGCATGACAGTTACAGACATTGCAGAGATGTATGGCATGTATTCAAAGTGCAGATATTTCTCTGCTCAATCAACACTACGCTGCCAACTGAAGTGACATATAGACTCAGTATTGAGTTCCTGAAAATGCTTTCCTCAGATGCTTCTAATGTTGTAGCAAGACAAATCCACTGAGGTTCCCTAAATTGGGAGGATGCCCCCTTAGCTATTTCAGTCCTGGTATCAGCCAGTACCTTTGCACCTGCCTTCATCATCAAGTCCACTTGGGATCTAGAAACCATGTACAGGCTTGACTGTACATGGTCTCAATATGATAACTGTTCTTTGGGAAAAAATACAAGATAATGGTCTACTACAACGTTCATGCAGGCATTAGCATCTTTAAATTGTGCTGGCACTGGTAGCACATGTTCTTGTGTCTTGATGTGATTACTGCAGCTTGTAATAGGTCATGGTTCATTCCCCACCTACGTAGGAAGGTGCAATAAATACTGAGTAAGAGCAAGCCCTTGTGAGAACAGCACGGTGAGGGAAAACCCTTACCTAACTCCCTTTTTCACTCCCTTTTTCATTGTTAGTGGAGTTTCTATGACTCGCATTTTCTACACCTGTTTCCTCTATCGTTTGGATCCCCGGAGTGCAAATACAACTATACCTTGCGGGCCTCCTGGCAGAGGCTGGTAACAGCTTATCTAACAAGAATTACTTTATTTTTAGGGCTCTGAAGCTTATGTTGTGCTCTTTGGTTAACGCTTTCCTCCCAGACTAAATGGCTTTCATGTTTAAGGCTTTTTGATTGTTACAGCATTTTTCAGGTTGAATATTAGTGTCTTGCAGATTGTGTATCATAAGCAACATACATGTCACGTCTTATAGTCTCCAGTGCATTTTTTAGATTTTTGGTGGAGACCAAAAGGTCTCCAAAGGAGACCTTTGCACTCTAAAGGAAAATTTTGGACACGTGATTAGCCTAAGTGAGAGCCCTGTAAATGCTGAAGTACAAGATTATTTTGTTTTCCAGCTTTCCTGTGCAAAATCTGGTGGGCAGAAAGGAATGGTGAAAAGAATGAAAAGTAACTTAATGATGGTAGTTAAAAAATAGACACAATGACACAAATATGTATTAAAATATGTCCTTTTTCAATGATACAATGCTTGCTAAGTCCGAGTGGTCTACTAACTACCTCAGGAGGTTAAATATAGTACCCATGATGTCAGTAAGTTTTTCCACACAAAGGGCAAGACACAGAGAAGCCGGTGTAATCTCTGGCACAAGAGATTTCCTGTGTGATTTTCAGTCAAACAGATGCAAGGATGGATAGAAAGTCTCTTGAATCTTGAAGTCGTCGTCTTCAAGAAGTAATTGCAGGCTTGCAGTTCGATGTATGTGCTGCCTGGGTGTCATGATGTGGGATCTGGCCTTGGCTTATTAAAATTCTTCCAAACTCTACCCTGGAATCTAAAGAGCGATGCACTATAAAATAAATATGAGGGAATGAATGATCAAGACAATACACAAATGTCACTAACCATCGGGGAGGTTGTAGAAAAATAGAATTTCTGTAACAGTTGTGTCTTTTGGGGCTGAAGGGGTTATAGTGTGGCTGCCCTGTGGTCCTTACGTACGGACCCTCTATATTGATCAGGCTCCAGATTAGCTTACGTATTTTTCATAGGTGGAAGACTGCCTCCCAAAAAGAACTAAATGCAGTTCTAGAAAAAAGCAGTGAGTTTTTGTATGTGAATGCTGTGTGGGTTAGGGGAGTGAGTATATGTACTGCTATTTCATAGTTCTTATATACCTTCTAAATAAATCTAGAGAAGGTCACACGTTATTTCCTTCCTTTCCCCCTGCCCCGAGTGGTTACGGTTTGATAAATATCATTTTTAAAAGTTAAGTACAGGAAAATATTTTCTGCTTTAAAATTTTGGGCCATTTAAATGCAAAACATCTTCCTCTACCTTAGTCATCTTGCACCGTTCTGCCTTTTTACTTCAAAACTGCTGAGCATATGCGTATTTATGTACTGTGGATAAAACAGTTTGGCCTGGTGTGCTAACCTGTGTCAGAACTGCCAGGGTGTCACCTACAGCAGAATTTTCCTAATGCCTTTGAAATGTAAGTCCCCCAGCAAACAGTGACTTGAAATCCGAGTCACAGACACAAATTTTCACAGTAAAGCAATTAAAAAAAAAATTAAAGGAATATTGACCATTAGTATTCCATTTACCTCATGCGTGTTCTACTTCAGCATGCAGTACTTGCTGATATTTTGATATGAATATGTATCATTGACATTTTAACGGTCCTGAGAAGTGAATGATATGAAATGTAACAATAAGCATAGTAGTTTATTTCCACAGTGAAGACCAATGTATAGACATATGTGAAGATATGTGTGCATGTGTTTAGGTATTATATATAAATATACAAAGAACAACTTATGTATATATAGGCAGGTGTGTAAAGATCCATTTATTGGTATGTGTTGTATGTAGATAAAAGCACTTAAGCAAGTGAACACTAAATTTTCACCAATAAAAGCCAATTGTGGACTTGAGTAGAAATCACAGAAAATGTAGTGGGAGTTTTTTCAGTTTTAAACAAAAATGAAGCTAGCAGTGATAGTTTTGTGAGAGTTGTTCCCTGAGACTTGGAGCTGAAGGAGCAAAGCAGCAAATGTAAGAATCGAAAGATTTGCTGGCAGCCGTAGGTGACCTAAGAGCACTCCCCTCCCCTCTTCATGTTCTGATGTCGGAACATAAATCTTATGTTCTGTCCAACTTTTCGTTTCAGCAGTAACACTTTTGCTTCTTAAAACCCCTTCTGTAATTTTTTGGGTTATTCCATGCTTCGTTTCCAGCCCTGAACGGTCTGCTGCTAAAGATCTGCCATGTTACACACCAAAGACAGCTGCATTTCAGTAGCAGAAAAAGTGGTACTTGCATCCTGCATGTGATTTTGGCCTTGTTTAGTGTCTTTCTAAATAAGATATGTTGAAGAGCACTGTAATGCAATCTGAAGGTGATGTTCCAGTAAGCTAGGAGTTGCAGAGTATATTGCTAAGGGAGAGATTGTTTGCAGGAACTTGCAAGAGAACTGCACAGAAAATTGCATCCCGTTTGAAAATGCTTGCTAATTTTGTCAGAGTAACCATCAGGACAGAGGAATACAAGCTTCTGTTGATCTAGTAAACCTGATTTAAATCAGGTGATTGGAATGAGGCATAATAATATCCAATACTGTAGCAGTGACTATGGGGGAATGCCATTTACAAGAAGAGCAATGTAAAGTACAACTTGCTGAAAAGAACCAAGAAGGGGGATGGTGAGTCACCAGCCATGGCGCTGATTTTGGCATCAACAGAGATTTGAGCTGGAAACAACAACAATGAATTACATATTTAATTAAAAAAATTGGCCCTTCACTACATAAAGGTTTGTCATCACTTATGTAGGTGTCACATTATGCATCCAATCAACTGAAAAGCAGTACTTCGGAGAGAAAAAAATGACTCTGTGAGTTATTTCTGGAATGCACGCACACAGGATCTGGATTGGAGAGCAGAAAGTTAAGCTGACATTGCTCTCGTGAGACTCCATCAACATGCTATATTCATTTCTGGACATCTTCAAAAGCTGTTAAGAAACCGAAGGACTTTTAAATAAACAGAAATAAGATTAAAAGGGGAAGGATTGCCTAGTAAAGCAAAATGCTAAATAATTGAAATCATATGGCTTGCCTAAAGGAGAAAGGGACAGATCTACAGCTCTGTGCAGAGTATAAAATACTTGGCAGTAGTGAATGAGATATGATATTTCATCTGGATATAAATATTAACTTCTGGAAAGTGTTAAGGAACAAGAAAGTGTCTCTCAAGGGCTCCTGACAATCATTTTTTTGAATTATGTGGTATAGTATATGAAAAGAGATCATTGTTGGTATTGGCTTGTAAATGCACCTCCTTGAAGAACTAAAGCAATCCTATTATGTGAGTCAACTAGATGACCTAAGAGGTCAGTTCTGCTATCATCACCATGATTCTACTCCATACATCATATAATTCTTGACCTTCCAAAATACTTTGTACATTAGAATTGCTCCTCTGTCACTTAATCTGTTTATCATGTATTCTTAGTCTTTCTTCATCACACATATTGGCTGTTAATCGGGTTCCTTGCAAGTAGTCAGTTTTTACATGTTTCCAGGTCCATGTGTTCAGCTATGTAACGTTTCATAAGAAGTGATAAAATTACTGACACGTGATTTGCATCAAGTTATGTTGATAAAGCACTTCAGGTATACTTAAGGGAGGAAATTAAAGACAGACTTATACTAAAAATTTAGTTTGAAGTCCAGACTCCTCTCTCTTTTCTCTGAAGTTCAGAGATTCTTGAATTTGGATAGTTTTGATTGAAGTACGATATAGGAATGAAATTGTAAATTCAAATTAATCACTATTATAAATTCTGAAAGAAGAAAATGTGCATGGTTTTTATCCATTTGAGTGCTCCCTTGGATTTGCCTAGGGATCCATTTCAGCAGAGACCTGGTGAAGTTCAGTCAAGCTCTGGTGTGTTTTGGGTTTCCTCGGGAGCACAGAAGTGCCCAGCTCCCTTTTCCTTCATGTTGCTGAGAACAGGTGGCCTCCTCCGGGGTCACCAATTATATTTAGGGCTGAAACTCGAGCAGGCTGGAGCCAGATTGGCTGTGCTAGCCACATGAGTAATTAGGAGCTGATGCACCAGGCTTGCTCTCACCCAGTGCTGCTCAGGAGGGAAGACTGGAGAGGCTTTGCTCCTAAGGATATTTACTAGATGTTGCTGGTAAGAACATTTTAATCACATTTGACTTCTTCTCCTTAGAATAGGATCTTGAGCTGTTTCCTGATTCTGTAGTTTTTTGGGAGTAGTTGTTGTGCCTTGCCCACGGAAGTCAGATTTTCTGTCTGGATGACTAGTTGCAAATTGCAGTAAGAGGAAAGGACCTGGAACTGTGTTTTGGAAGTGTAACTGAAGATTATAATAGTCACAGGTTGTATAGATTGTATCCTTACATGCAATCCCTACCTCTTGGGTTTGTTCATAAATTTTGGCCTACTTTTTGACATGACGTGTCACTTATTAATTGAGTTATTCTTCACTTATTTTAATAGTTAACATTCTGGTTTAACAAATTGATTGGTTTTTTGGTAATTTTTCTCAACATGTTGGAACTAAAAAGGGACAGTATTCAATGTTCCTATATTTAACCTGCATTACTAGACTTCACTTGCCTCAGAAGGAATTGCAGTTTAGCCAGCTAAACAAAACCACCCCGTCATTTGGTAGTATTAGCTTACACGGCAAATATCTCTGGACTCAGGAACAGCTGTTCCAAAGCCTCATCCCCTACCAACATTAGAAACAGGGCTCTGGTCTCTGGTGGAGAATTGTAGCTTTGCCTCATAGCAAAATCATTGTGTTAATTAATTCGTTTAAAGGTTTTGACAGTAATCTGTACTTTGTAATTCAGCCAACTGTATGGATTTTCATATTTTCCAGGTCTGAAGAAAAGAGAGAAAAAAGCCACAAGAACTGAAAAAAAAAAAAACCCAAACCCAGAGCATCTGTATAGGCTAATGCTGGGAAGACAGAAATTGCCTCCTTAACCTAAGGTCACTTAAAAAAAAAAATTTACAATCTTCTTCTACATTATGCTTTTACTTGTGAATGAATATAGCCGAATATACAGATAAAGCTCCCATTCAAACAGGAGCTTGAATAACGTAATGAAATGGTATAGAATACTCACAGAGAAAAGAAAAATTCTTCAAATGATTTTGTTGTAATGAAAAAAATCAAATCATACTTCAAGAAATCTCTTCCTCTAATTTTTTTTATTTTCATTGAATTCCAATATTGATGTTACAGCTACTAGAATAAAGTATTTGTCCAAAACTGTAATTTATATCAGTATGTTTGAAACTTAATCCAATGCTTTCCCATAGTAGTGAGAAACAAAGTAACGCCAGATCCCAACTTTTGTTCTCTCTGTTGTTGAAGTTCTTTCACTGATTAGCCAACAATGTTGTAATAATCTGACTAGTTACTAACTGTGACTCAGGCGTTTTATGAACTTGACTAGTAGCTTTTCATAGTACTTTCAGTCTTGGGCTAATACTGTATATTCACACTTTCATTTGCTGCGTGACCAGTGAGTGGGGGAGAGACAGAATACCACCCTCAAAATGGAGGAAGAAGAATATGAAGAAGTTGTGGAGGTAAGAAGAAAATCTGAGAGTAGAAATATTTGTTTCCTGCCTTGTGAATGAATATATTGATCACTTTAATGAGACGTTGCTCATGAGCATAAACGGTTGCTTGCTATTTGCTCTCTGAAAATTAGGGTATGATTAGATATCTATTAAATGGTTTGATCAGTAAAAAACAACAACAAAGTTGCTGTCGGTGGAGCAAAGTCTCCCTGGTTCCTGTCATAGTTTCTCTGTTTAAATAAGGATTGTAATCATCCCACACCTGCATCGCGTCGTTTTGTGATTACTCTTCTGCATAATTATAGATGCAGTGGGCCACCTCTTCTCCCTGCCGGCTGCCCTCTGTCATCCAATCCGTGCTAGAGAGGGTGACTTTGGAAGCCGCTTTCTAGCCTCGCCTCTGTGCCCACTGCAATGCAGAAATGCAGCAGTTTTGTGCCGCCACGGTACCATTAACCAATTTAGCCTTGAAGTTGCAGAGATGGAGCTAGATTTAAACCTGTACATGTCCGTGGAGTTGCATCAGCAATTAACTTGCTCATAGGTCATTTAAGCTCACAGTTATATGCCTAATTATTTAGTCTCAGCAATTTGATTAAAAGAATCCCCAGGAACTGGGGAACCCACAGCTTACTATTATGAGCGAGTGCTATTGGAATAATGGCTTTGCTTATTGAAACAGTATGCGAGGTTAAAAAACAGTGTGGTCTTACCTGTTGCATTATTACTGTTCTGAAATGAAATTATGTGTTATGAAATACATAAGGGGTTATAACAAATTGCTCAGTGTTTGAGGAAAAGAAGATAGTACAAATGTAGACAATCCCCAACTCTCTATCTCCACACTATAGTCAATGGACCGTTGATTTCAGGCAGTGTTACAGCATTGAGCCCTGACTGCTGTGTTTATAAATTTCAAACAGTGAATGAAGTAAAGTCAAATGGTTTGCCAGTTGAATTAGTTAAATGTGTTTTGGAAAATAAGCATTACTGTTCAGAAAGTCCGTTTTAAAGACGTACCACCTAGTTACAAAGACACCAATCCTTCATTAAGTTTCCTATTACCATGTTACTTGTAACTGCCTTTATGCTTCCTGAGCATTATGTGCTCTCTGTAACAAAATGCTTATTTATTTGCTGTCAATGTTTATTTGTTGCTGCTGGAATTACGGTATGTTGGGTTTTTTGTCTACACAGCTCTGTTATTCTTTGTTTTTAATTTTCACCGACTGCCTTCCTGTAGCTGCATCCCTAGGACAGACCAAGATGGTGCTGCTTTAGTAGCTTCCCTCCAGATATTCATAGTGAGAAGTTAAATAAAACAGGAACAATAGCATCTGGTACAATTTTAAGGCAGCTTAAGTCTTTCCAGAGTTTTCTTAATTAGAATTCCACTTCTGTATGAATCACCTATTTTAAACCTATAAGAGTTCTATCAGAAATTCATCTTCCGAAAGAGTAGAAAACTATTGCTGAATAATGAGTGGCTGAGAAAATGTTGAGGATTTTAAGATACTATTTTTAATTTCTCTGGAGTTATTAGCCTGCACTGGACATTGTAGCCATTTGTGATGTGCAAAAAACCACAGTGAATGACACAACCTTTGCTGCTGAGCTACTCGAGGCTTTGTGGAAGGTGGGTCAAACACGGTATAGGGCCAGCGAGCAGAAATTGCCTCAAAAGAGCCCAATATGAGACAGCTTGAAAAGTATGGGCTAGTTACGTGAACCTAACTTTGAGGAACAACTCGGGGAAAAGGACTTAAATTTTAATGAGAGTTTTTTTAGGGCTTGATTCAAAGGGCTTTCTGTTCCCACAGTTTTGGCATGTGACCCTGAGCAAATCATTGCTGAGGAGATTTTCAAAGATAAAAACGACATTATACATTTTCTCCTTTCTGGAAGTCATAGAATCATAGAATAGAATCATAGAATCATTCAGGTTGGAAAAGACCTCTAAGATCATTGAGTCCAACCATCAACCCAACAGCCCCATGCCCACTAAACTATGTTCCTCAGCGCCTCATCTACACGTCTTTTAAATACTTCCAGGGATGGGGACTCAACCGCTTCCCTGGGCAGCCTCTTCCAACG